ACACACCTTTAATCCTAGCATTCCAAAGGCAGAGATCCGTCTGGATCTCTGTGAGTTCAAAGCCACACTGGAAACAGCCAGGCGTGGTGACACAAGCCTTTAATCCCAGGAAGTGATGGCAGGAAGCAGAAAGGTATGTAAGGCCTGAGGACCAGGAACTAGAGGTTGGTTAAGCTTTTAGGCTTTTAGCAGCAGTTTAGCTGAGATTCATTCCGGATGAGGACTCAGAGGCTTCCAGTCTGAGGAAACAGGATCAGCTGAGGAATTGGCAAGGTGAGGTGGCTGTGGCTTGTTCTACTTCTCTGATCTTCCAGCGTTCACCTCAGTAACTAGCACCAGGTTTGATTTTATTAATAAGAACTTTTGAAATCCGTGCTACAGGTGACTATTCTGGCCACTTTGCCCAAGCCATCCCACTGCAGCCTTCTGAGAACAGAAGGCACAGCCGCTGAGCATCTACGTGGGGTCAGGGCTGCAAACTCTGGCGCTCACACTCGAAGCAAGTGATTGACCCACTGAGCCATCTCCTCGACCACAGCTTTAGCTTTTTCACGTCTCGTAGCCCCCGTTCCTGCCATTCCATGATGTCTGATCTTTTGCTCCACTGTATCATTTTCTGTTCTTATTCAACTGTTCTTCTCCAGCTGCCTCCAGATCTTATGCCTATTTTTAGATCATTGTAGCAACTTATCTAGTTCCCCAAACCCCCATTCTTCTTTATTTAATTTATGCTCAGACTGGGGAATATTGATTTTTTTAAAAAGTACATTATTCTCTGCTCTCTTATAAATGTAACAGAAAGGTACATTTCAGTCTTGATTCCTAAGGAAATGAAGAAAGAGAAATTGCTGAGCTCCAACTGTGACTCATATGTTATACTTATTTCATGAATTCCCACAGCCACCTATACGGCTGATGATTCCTGCATTACAGAGATCAGAGAATCTGCATAATTTTACTAAGCTCACACAGCTGGTGCAAGCTGGGGCAGAGGCGTTCATCCTGATTTGTCAAGCTCAAAAGCCCATGAGACCACCACAGTTTGTTTAGATGCAGGCCCCAGCACCGTTGACACTAGTGACCGTGGTATTTTTTAAAACAAATTGAGTGCATCACAGTGTGGCTTTTTACGAAGCTTTCCTCTTGCATAGCCATTTATATGACATGCCATTTGTGGTGTCTGTGAAATACCACCAGCATCACTGCCTTGGTAACTACCATGAACACCAGAGGGTGTGCAATAACCGTGACAGACCAATGTCTTCACTAGCTTTCTTTTAGGAATATCAAACTACAATTAAAATTAGTGTTATGCAGACTTAAACATCTCTAGCTAGCCAACTGGGTGTGTTTTCTTAAAGATCAAATGTACTTGAAGGGATTCTGGGGATCTGCAACTGTCCTTGAATTGTCTACAGCTTTACTATGCCTTAAAAACCTCCAATGTCCCAATCAAATTCATTGCTTCAAACTCAGAGAAAGTTAGTGTAAACCAAACCCTGCAACACGTCCGTTGTATCCCCAGCCAATGATCTTTTCAGCCATTTAAATATAAAAATAAAGCTTCCTCAATCATATTTCTTTTATATTTCTGAAAGCCCCCCTTCTTGTGTTTCACTTGAGTAAATCTAAACAATTTAAAACTAAACTCAACCTGGTGTATACAGAGGACAAGTGCTCACATGATTCTTCTGAGTGTTCTCAAAAAAGCACATCCTCTAGTGGCATGTTTTCTTAGGAGCCACTCGACACAGATGTGACATTTCCAGCATTCTGAAAGGAGCTCCAAGAGAAGGGAAAATATGCCCCATTAAATGAAAATGTTCGTACAATAAATTACTCAGTTATTAGGGAAGAGAGAGATAGGCTAAGGCACCTGGCCCTAATAACTTTTAGTGATTGCAAATGGATGAGGCTGAACCAAGGTGGACACATGTTGTGGCACCTTTTTAGTCCTTGTACTGAAATTTTAGCTTAACTTTTGTACCTGGTGCTTACTTATGCATTTGTCTTATTAAATACCATTCAAGCTCATCAAATAGCAAAGCTATTCAGTTGTAGTAGGACTGGAAGAGGGTGTATACTGTTGAGAAAGGGTCATTGCTAAGGTCATTGCTGCAACCCTATCGTGTATACCAGGGCTGATCCTCGACTCATGTATAAACATAGCATCAGTTATCTTTGTCAAAATATATTTATGGTTGATATCTTCATTTGTTCAGCTTTCTAGATTACAGTGCTAACTTAAACCTTTTATTAAATACTGTCGATCATGATAGTGTCCTTTATGCATGTGTGCCCTTACATAAAAATTCTGAGGTTTGGGGAGAGGGACACAGAAGTAACAGTGGAAGGATTCTTTTAGCTCATATATTTTTTAATTTTTAAATTAAAATATGACTATATCATTTCCTCCTCCCCTCCCCTACCTCCAAGTCTTTTCATATGCCATATATGTGCTATGTATAGTAAAGACGTCCTCTTTGCCAGCAGCCAGCCTGCTTCTCAGCACTGGCCAACAGCCTCTGCTTCTTCTCCTTCTTGTCGCTGGCTTATGGTTGTGGGAAAGCTTAAACAGCTGCTGGTTGCTGGTCCAGTGCCTAAGTGAATGGGCTCATTGCAGGAAGAGCTTGCAGACACTTACAGGTGGCGTCTCTTTCAGGTGGTTGTGGATGGTGAGATCTCCCTCGCCCTGGGTGGCCTATCTAATGCCAAATTTCTTGAGCCTTTTCTTAAACAGATTCACTACCTTTTTGTCCTGGGCTTCTTTAGGACAGCAGGGGATGGGGTCACTTTCTCGCCTTAGCTCTCTTCCCTTTGAGCATCATGCTTGGCTGGAGAAGATGAAATTGTCATCTGCATTGCCCCAACAGTGGGAAGAGAAGAGGTTGAGGTGTGGTATGGATAAACAGTCTACCCAGGACACTGTTCAGTAAAGCACATGGACACAAGGCCCGGGACTCAGCCCAGGCTATCTCCCCATACCCAGCTGCATGTCTTTGGGTCCCTGTGACACTGAGAATCTCATTCTCTTGCATTTGTATTTTTGGATACTGAAAGAATAGGAGCCCTTTCTTATCATTGAGTTAAAGACCGTACCATGTTTCTCAGAGGTGTTGCTTCAGAATGGTAGGGTCACACTTCTACTTTATGAGCTACTATAATGCCTTTCTTCCTTACAAGATCTCATTATTAATTCCACTAACACCTTTATCCAAGGGTTTTTGTTAATTTCATTATTGTAGCATGTTTTCGTTCTCCAGACAGCAAGACAAAGAACGTTAACTTCTGGAGGTTGCTGGGTCTGTGTGAGTATTACCATTCAGGGAATAAGCCTCAAATCCCAGTTTTTATTAAGGTTTCACTACGTCAGCGTGATGGATTGACTCGCTGTCCTTGTGACCAAACTCACTCTCCAACTCTCCCCTCTTGCCCGGAGGTCAACTCTATTACCCGCCTCAGTGCTCCACTCTCTAATTACATGGTTGGTCCTTCGGGCCTGACAGGCTCCATTCTAAGCATAGACTCAAATTTGATGCCAGGTTTGCCTTGTCATGAGCAACAAAGTCCCTGTTTGGGACTTTGGGAAATTGGGACAAGGATTTAGGGGTTGCCTCCCAGGAGCCTAAAATGAGGAAGAGCAAGCAAGTTATTCATACAATGGCTGCCAACAGACTCTAAATCCTTAAGGCAAATTCATTCAAAACAGCATTGTCATCACAGCAGGGCTTTCACATAATAGCCAGAGTAGACAGCCATTTGTACTACAAATTGAAGAGCATATATAAGAAAGGCAGCGGTGTGCAGTAGCCAGACCTACAAATTACTGACCAATTGTTTATGAATGTGCCATAACTCCTGTAAAACCTGACTGGGAAAGTATACTTGTTTAAGATTAAACCAAAAACTAAAAATAATGAATTAATATTTAGCATCTCAACATGAAAATCATTTATAAAAGCACAAAGATAAAATGAAATCAATATAAAATTTAATTTAATATAATTTTTAAAGACAGGTTGATTTTGAACTTGCAGTCATCGTGAATCTTCAGAGTGCTGGGGTTGTGGGATGTATCACTGTACCCTAAGGGGAATGGTATTTTTATTTTATTTTTTATTAAATTTTTTATATTTATTCTATATACAAACCATAGTTTTCCCTCCCTCCTCTCCTTCCGGCCCCTCTCTCTACCTCCTTCTACCCTGCCACCATCTACTCTTCATCCATCTCCATTCAGAAAGGGTAAGGCCTCCCATCAAAGTCAACAGCATGGCATATTAAACTGAGGCAGGACCAAGCTCCTTACCCCCTGCATCAAGGCTAAGGGAGGCATCTCACCATAAGGAATAGGTTCCAAAAGGCCTGCTCATGTGACAGGTCCTGGTCCCATTGCTAGGGGTCCCACAAACAGGCCAAGCTACACAACTGTCACCCACATGCAGAGGGCATAGGTAGGTGCCATGTAGGCTCCCTAACTTTTGTTCTAGAGTCCCTGACATCCCATGAGCTCTGGTCAGCTGTCTCTGTAGATTTCCTCATTATGATCTTGACACCCCCCCCACCCCGCCTCCTTGATCATATAATCTCTCCTCCCTCTCTTCAACAGGACTCCCAGAGCTCGGCCCAGTGCTTGGCTGTGGATCTCTGCATCCGTCTGCTTCCATCATTTACCGGATAAAGCCTCTATGATGACAATGAGAGTAGTCCCCAATCTGATTATAAAAGAAGGCCAGTTCAAGCACCCTCTCCACTATTGCTAGGAGTCTTAGCTGGGGTCATCCTTGTGGATCCCTGGGAGTTTCCCTGGCACCAGAGGGAATGATATTTTTAATCTGAAACTTAGTGATTGCTTGTACAATTTGTTTATTTCACATTTGGTTGTGAAAAAAATAAAGTTCCTTGGCTAATTATCTTCCAAGAATTTTAATTTTAAACTATATCAAAAATACCATCACTTGTTATAGAACTTGTTCTAGTATTTAACAGTCCTAGCACACTGACCAAACCCTAACTCTTCAACCTAGAGATAGATCCTGAATTACCTGGTTATTACCTGGTTTATACTGTATTCTGTTCAGTTTCCTTTGAACAGTCTTCACATACATTGGTCCACTCTAACAACAGCCACTGCCATTCTATACTTACTCTCAGTCATCCCTGCTGCTACAGTCTCCTCCTTTGGGTACCATAGGTCCTGTAGGTACTCAGAACCTGAGATGTGTATTTGGGCTATCCATTTTACCTTAGGAAAAACAAACTGTCTTTAAATGCTCCTTGTATTCAAGAAATATCTTCAAGAATTCATATGTGTGTGTGTTTGTGTGTGTGTGTGAATTACATGAAGAGAATATACTCAAACCTTGATTCTAATCTTATTTTCCAAATATGCTCCCATCTTCTAGATAAGTGTACTCTGTGAATCAGTATCTCCAACAGCCACAATCCTAAAGGAAGCCATTTTTTTAAAAAATCAAAGAAAAAGAGCCTTCTTCCCTAGAAACAGCACCATAATACGAAGATTAAATAGAAGGAAACTTTACCTCAAATTCATGCAAATTGCAAATTTGAATCTCAGTGTTGTGAGGTAGTTAACCAAAGCATGAACTTCTATATTCTGAGAAAATGGGACATTCCAACCAAAACAGAGAGCAGAAAAGCATCTAGAAGTTTCCCAAAGTACGTTGCTGCAGTTTCCGGCTGTTTTCTCTGTAGACAACAGAATATCTAACAGATTGTAGACTGCCACTGCGGGCTTAGAAATTTCAATAGTCTACAGATTTGCTTCTCTCTGAAATCGGGAAAAAAAAAAAAAAAAACAGTGGGCTATCTAGCCATGAATGGAAAAGCTAAGTTTCTTCTATTCAGAAAGATTGAAACTGAGATAAGCATTTAAGTAAAACATGATTCTTAATCACCAGCAAGAGTTTAAATAAGTAAGTACTATCAGCATCAGTACTTTGGTAATGAAATGAGTGTGTTGTTTGAATACTTAAATACTATTTTTTTTTTCCTTCCTTCCTTTAGTCTTTGAGGGGATTTTCCTAAGGACTTCAGCATTACTTGCCTTTTAAGTTATCTTTACGTTATCTGTTTGGAAAATCTTGAATGATAAGAAAAGTTTTGTAATGTTACATCTTTTATCATAAAACATTACTCTTTTGAAATTTATATATCTAAATTTTGCCTCTAAAACAATAATTTCAACTACAGTTTCAAACATGTTTGCAAGTATTATTTATGCAGTTATTAAAATTTCTCAGTGAGTTACCTTATGTCTAGACTTCAGATAAACTGACAGTTGAGCTGAGACCACTGAGAAGGTGAAAAATTAAAAAGAGAAGAGGTGGGCATTGTCAACACCGTTTTCACACTTGTTCACAGATGCTTGTCTCTTGTTTGCAGTTGGTAAGACAATGAGCTGCCAAGAGTGGTGAACAAACAGAACCCAGACTTCTTAGAGTCAGTGCTCAGTGCAGAAGAGGCTCAAAGAAACAATTATTTACAAAATGATGCTGTGTCACCTTGAAAAACAAAGGCTAGTCATCAGGAGTCATTTTATTGCTAAGTTTCATTAGATGAATAATAGTAGTAGGTATTCGCCCTAGGCCCATGACTTACCTAGTCTCAGATTCTTGGCCATTTTAGCAATGTTGTGTATGGGTTCAACCTTACAGGAGGGACGTTAAATACAATGTGGTTGTTTTTAATACAAGGTGGTTGATTAATCCCATAATATGTGTGCCACTGTTGGGCCGGTGTATCTTGTAGACAAGTCTATGTAGATTTACTCAGAAGTAAGTCTAGGAAGCTGCGCAGAGTGGTGTGTGCCTTCAATCCCAGCACTCAGAAGGCAGAGGCAGGCAGATCTATGAGTTTGAGGCCACCCTGGTCTACACAGTGAGATTCGGGGCAGCCAGAACGATATAAAGAGACCCTGTCTCAAACAGGAAAAACAGAAAGATTCAGAATAGCATGGCACCGGGGTAGGAAAGAGTTTGGTGAATGTCAGGAAAGGTTAACATGATGAAAGAGTAGACAAGGCATGAACAACGAAAGGCCCGATTTAAGGAGCAAGGGTTATATGATGCAGAGATCACGATCAGGCTATAACTTTGTATTTAAGTGCCAGGGACTGCCTGGAAGATTTAAATAGAAAGTCATATGATCATAATTGAGTCTATCAAATATTACTTTGGCTACTATACTATATGGAGAATGGTTTGGAAGAAGGCAAGTGAGGGGAGACAATGGATAGAATATTAGAAACCTATACCAAATTGCCATAAGTAACATTATAATGGGCAACTGTGGTAAACATAGGAAAGAGTAGACATATTTAAGGTTTTTCACTAGTTGCAGTATTCATAGGACATGATAATGGGCTATATTTAGGAGCACTGGGTACAGATTTGGTATGATGTGTTTATGTAGCCCTTATATAAAATCATTTCTAAGGGACCTACTCTACCAGAGAGCTTTGTGAAATGGTTCCATTTGGATGGGCCCAAAGGAAATGCCCCCCCACACACACACACACACAAAGAAGACATGAGATATGACCCCCAAATCCACAGGAGAGGTAGAGAAAAGGAGATTGTGTCTTTTAGTAATTAATTAATCAATAAATGAAGGTTCAGAACTGTCATGGTTTCCAGGTAAAGTTGTGTGTTCAGATCACCACACACAAGAGCATTAGAGATGGGGTTGAAACAATTAGCAGGACTCACGGAGTGTGTCATGTTGCAAGAACCATTCAAAATGTGTCCCACATATGAATTATTGGCTTCTCAACACTTTGAGCTATGTGGCCTTCTGTGCAATAGGCTAGAAAATGGGGCTAGGGATTCGATGTGGTCAGTTTTTCTCACAAATGTAAGAGAGTAAATGTGAGTGTGAAAATGCCCCATCACTGCACCAGACTGCAAAGAAAAGGCAAAACTTTAATAACTAAAGCTAGCAAACAAACAAACAAATAAAATCTGTATAGACCATAGTGGTCAAACATTCCTCAAGAATTCAAAGGAAGGAAATATCCTTTACATGTGAAATCATCTTTTTGTTATACATCCAGTGTCCTGGAATCGCAAGAGTACTTGGCAAACATTGAAAAACTCCCTTGACCTTTGGATCAACATCATTGCTTGTGAATCCCTGGGTATTTGGAGTTTGTAATAGAGCTCTGGCTGTTGTGGATTGCTTCTTCACAAAGATCTCCAAGAAGTTCTTAACATGTAATTGTTCCTTGTTTTCTTTCAAACTTTTTTTAATGGAAATCCATTTTCTTTTGTCTGATCTTTTAAGTTGCAACCCTATTCTTCAACAATTTGCAATTAATAGTTTAGTGACCTTTTCTAACAAAATTACATATTGGTTCACAATTCTTAGTGGAAGAAATTGCCTTAATCTGAATTATTTAAAACTAGAGGGGGAAGCAAGGAGGCATTTCACTTCTATTCGAATGAAGTCTGCTGTGGGATGGTCTGTATGTCAAATGCTCTGATTGGTCAATAAATAAAACACTGATTGGCCAGTGGCCAGGCAGGAAGTATAGGCGGGACTAACAAAAAGGAGAATTGAGAGAACAGGGAGGTGTGAGGAGACACTGCCAGCCGCCGCCATGACAAACAGCATGTGAAGATGCCGGTAAGCCACGAGCCACATGGCAAGGTGTAGATTTATAGAAATGGGTTAATTTAAGCTATAAGAACAGTTAGCAAGAATCCTGCCATGGCCATACAGTTTATAAGCAATATAAGTCTCTGTGTTTACTTGGTTGGGTCTGAGCGGCTGTGGGACTGGCTGGTGACAGAGATTTGTACTGACTGTGGGCAAGGCAGGAAAACTCTAGCTACAGAAGTCCTAAATTATATGGTAATGATTGCATACATATTGAAATGTCTACAGAGGTTGAAAATAAAAAGTGTCAATCCTTCCCAGTAATCCTGCAGTCTGTCTCTTGCATGCTCCCTGTCTCATCTCTGTTTCCATCAGCAGCAATGTCTAGCTCTCAGTTCTAGCATCCTTACTAGAGAGGACTTATGGAAGTTTTGAATAGTGAGTAAAGGTCCTGAAAGGAAGTGAAATTAGGGATGTAATGAGCCCCTCACTGAGAGGTGGTAATGCCTGGCAGCCAGCTTTCTAGTGTATAGATGCTACATGTGTGTCTCTCCCCTTTTTGATGTTCTCTGGGTTGAGAAACAAAGATGGCTGTATCCCTTTGCCTTCCATTTCTATTTGTAGCACACTTTGTCAAGGCAGTCTACTTGATAGCCTGATACTGATTGTCTGTGTGAAATTGCTCTTTGGTGTGAAGAAAACCATGACTAATTCAAAGAAAGATTATTTCAGTGGAATCTTTGAAAGTTGTCAAGCAATTGGAAAATACAAACAGAAAGCAAAACAAATCATTCAGGAAAAATATCCGTCAATATTAAAACCTTGGGTGTTCTTATAAAAGACTGATTTCACACCTTGTGTCTGGGAACCGACTCTATACCAAGAGTAATAGAAGAGGATTCATGGTCCACCTGAAGCTGAGAACAATTACAATGATTCTGAGTTGACCCAAATCCTCTCCAAAATAAGCTAGCATCCATTGGGATTTGGCAGGACCTGGACAGGACCAGTAGTTAAGGAACACCTTGACCCATCATTAGTCACTTCCTCAGTATATATTGTGCATGTGTAGTTTGAAAGGCATTTGCTTCTAGCTGGTATCATTTTATACATATGAAAGTTTAATTTAAAAGTCATGTAAATTCCCAGATTGTTTATCTCTTTGGGTACCTTCTGCTCGAATGATGAGGACTTCTAAAACAAACAAACAAACAAACAAACAAAAACTCTATAAAATTTCCTACAGTCTGCAATCAAATCTGTGTGCTTCTACTGAGATTTCATTGTGTTACTGCCGCACATGCTGAGGCTTCAATAGAAATGTAGCAGACTTGGTAGAAAGTACAGCAGACACAATAAGATCCTTGGAGCAGGCCAGTTAAAGTTGGAAGTTTCGTCATTCTTTGTGTCCAGTGGAATGGGCTGAATGTTGTTTATAGAAAGTATTTGTTATTTAATTTTTTGAAATGGAAAGAACAGATGGCCAAGAATGTGTTAAGTGGAGAGCAAAGTTTTGTCCATCCTGCCACCACCCAGTTACTAACGCAGTAAGAAGATTGGCTGACATCATCCAACTTCAAGAATTCTAATGGTCTTAATAGATGCCATTTTAATTCCACCAAACAATAACTGATGATAGATTTAAATATGTGTACTTATAGTACATTTCAAAACCCTAAATTAAAACTATAATCAAGACAAATCTTAGTCCTAGCATGGCTGAAGCAGGAGAATCACTGTGAATTCACAGTAAGTTCAGGGTTGGGCTGTGCAGTGAGACTCTAGAGAGAAGAAACCAAAGGACAAACCTTCCCATGTTCTAATGAGAGTTTGCTTGGTCTTAGGAGCACGGCATTCCTACCGACATGGGCTACGCAGTGTCCCCTCACCACTCCGGCGTCTACCCTGTCCACGTTCAGCTGTACGAGGCCTGGAAGAAGGTTTGGAATATTAAAATCACCAGCACTGAAGAATATCCTCACCTGAAACCAGCTAGGTATCGGAGAGGCTTCATCCACAAAAACATCATGGTGAGCTCCTGCATGTGTACGGTTTGGCTAGTTTGTCCAGATGACAGCACACGTGCACAGGCAGAGAAAAAGGAGAGCAAAGAGTTAAGAGTGTGACTCAGGAGAGGGCGTGCTGTGTGAAGAGTGTTGTTATACCTAAGGAAGGCGTTCTTGTGATAGTTGTGTCTTCCTGTTCAATAGAACTCTGAAAAAATAAAATAAGAAGCTTCTTTTCCTATCACTCCTGCTGGCAAGCAATCTCTGGTGTAAAAATACTAGGAAAACATTACATCAAAGTTACAAATAATTTTAGACTATCATTTCTTACAAAAGTCATGTAGTAGATCAAAGTCATGGCAGCTCTCCATAGTCCATCCTGTGCTTTTATAAGCTGGTCGAGTTGCACCTCTTTACCACACCAGGTCCCCCAAAACACTGCAGTGTGTATAGAAAAAAAGCCACATGTGAGGTCATGACTTGTTGCCAGATGCCCGAGAACAAATGGCACTGAGTTAAACTGATGCATGTGAACAGATATCTGCTCTCAGATATCTAGAGCAGGGGCAGCTGACTTCTTTCCACACAATTTTCCAATGTCTGCCAAAAGTCAAGTGGATGATGGTATTTAACTTGGATCAACCCCCATCTCAATGTGTCTCACAACAAGAAAAATGCTGTAAATGCTAGATGAGGGTATAATGGACACCTTCTTCTCCCAGCTTGCCCTTCCTTGGCACTCAAAACAAATTTATCATCTGGCCAGCTTTCTGATGAGAGAGAGTTCTAAAAGCCTGCACAAGGTCATAATTTAAAAGATGTACTTTTGCTAGTGTGATGTCATAGGCAGCCCCACAGTGGTGAACATCAGTCTCTGGAGATCATATTCAGTGTGGTTCTGTCCTGTTTCTGCCTCTGCCCAAAGGACTTCATTTCCCATACCTCCTCAAAACTGTATTTTGCCTGTGTTGCAAATGCATGCATGTTGCAGATAACCAGAGCTCAGGCAGATTTCCTGTTGACACAATTACACCTGTCATTCTGCTTTCACATGGATTTGATTCATGTGCCCCTGCATGAGAATTTCCATATGAAAAGTGTTCAGCAGTCTATAGGCTATGCAGGAAGAGAGACGGGATATCACCAGGAGCCATCCAAACAGACATACAAGTTGAGAACTGGAGAGCCGAATGCCCTCCTAATAGAGATGGGAAGGAAAGAGCTAGGGACTGAGGCATGAACCCTCAATCTTATACCAGACCCATATTTTCTAACTGAAGTGAAATCATCCATTAATTAAAATCAAAAGACTTTAGGGTATTCTTTTTCCTTCCAAGCCATCATTGATCCTGCTTTCACTAGTTCAGTTACATAATCCAAGCTTCCCACTAGGACTTCTAAACCTTCTCTGAGTTCTAATCCCTTTAGAGTACCTTCATTTGTTCCATGGCAGCCACTGATCTTAACTCGCTGCTTGGTTTTCGTGTTGACTGTGGCACAAGCTCTCACTTGGTAAATCTTCACCTTCTGCCCACCATTCAGTGAAGGCTAGCATATAGGCCGTGCCAGCCCTTGACTCCTCCCGACCTTTCTAACCTTCCAAGTCTCAGCTGTTCCCACACTCTTTAATGCATCCTTTACAGGTGGAACTTGCACAGCAGCACACCTGCATTTCTGTCTTCCACGGCCCATCGTGGAACACTCTGTTCACTGGGAATGGCTTCCCAGGCACACTCCGCCTCTTCTTTTCCCAGCTAACCTTCGTTTCAACTTGTGTAACTAATGGAAGCACTGTGGTTCTCCTCTGAACTCGTGTGTTCCATGGGGACACAAAGCCTCTCTGTTGGGCACGTTTTATCCTCACACATAAGGAATGAATAGAAAACTAAGTTTTGAACTCTGAATCCTGGTCATTAAATGAGACCCTCTGGATAGACACAGAGGCCTGTGAGCAGCAGGACTCACACTCTCTCTACACACTGTGCGCAAAGGGAGGCCCAGGAGTAGGCCTCTCCAGTCGGAGTGTACCCCCCTTACATACTCAATGGCCAGCAGTCTTGGGTCACCTCACCGTTGGCAGAGTTGCCTGTCTGAAGCCTTTCCAGGCATTCTATTGGTGTGCCTTAAGATGTTTTGACTGAGATTTCACCGTTGCCCAAGAACTGTCAACCACTACAAAGATGACAGTTTACAAGTCTGAATTTCACAGTGTTACACTACCACCCTTCTCTGAGGAGCAGTCCATATTAAAATGCCTTGGAAAAGTTTCTCATTCCATCTGTAGCATAAGAGCTGTTTCAGGAAATGTGTTCATCTCCCTATAGCTGTATCTCGAATCAAGACAATGGAAGAGGACCCTGATCCCCGCTCCGGCCTGTCTGCCTAGCCTCCCATGGGGGCCCACTGAGGCCCTAAGACTCAGAGTAAAGGCCTCCCCTTTACTCTTTTCAAACTCACAGAATTTAAGAAAAAAAAAAACAACATTCAAGTTTCTTCACAGTTGTATCCACTTAACCAAATGACCTGGATAGGCTAGCTTCCTGGACAGCCCTGCATGTTCTATGCAAGATAAACTAAATCCTGAAAGTGATTGATTTGAAGTCATTCACTTTTAAAATGTAGCAGGACCCCGGCACTTAATCACATGTAGACATTTTCTTATTTAGTTTTGGATACTCCTCCTTACCCTGATATATTGTTAATACTATTTTTAGTAATTTTTTAAGAATTCCAAAGACTTTATTTTAATCATACCCCTGATAAATGTTATATCCTCTCAGAATAGAACAAACACACACACACACACACACACACACACACACACACACACACACACACACATTTCTCTTCTACATGAACTAGCATAGAATTTAGAGCAAATATTTGCCAAGTTCATTAGTAAAGATTGTAAATGGCTTTAACTGACATGAAATTACATGTCAAGTTATTGATAGTAAACATATCTGAAACAGTTGGAATTTTTTTGGTTGTGGTTTTGTGTACAGCATTATAACAGCTTATGATGTTTTCAGGCATGAAAAAACCCTGAGCTAATAAGCATTGGATTTAAACTAAAAGGCTTTAACTGATCTAAGGTAAAATAGCTTTCTCACTGTGTATGTTTTAGCAAAATGAGTGAGATATATAGAGTCTTGACTGACTCAGAAATATCTGATGCACTAATTGAGCTGAGAATTATATTTCCTGGGAAAACTTCTAAGTAGAGTGGAACCTCTCCCAGTGCTGTTTAAACTAATGGAAAAGAAGTCGTATATACATAGAAAGCTGAAAACCTGGGAGTCTTCAACAGGTAGTGTTTACAAAGCAGTCAGTGAACCAAAAAGTTTTGAGTTAAGGCAATAAAAATGATGATTTGTTTCCTTAAAGCAATGAGCAGAATGCCTGACTACATGGTGTTGAAAGCCTCTCAGCTTCCCACACACGCTCATGGGTTGGCTGTGTCTTCAAGTGCGGCGAGCAGAGGCCACTGTGGGTCTCACTGTGTGACTGAGCTGAAAACAGCAAAACTTCTTTTATCACTGCACTTTCATGTAAGAAATCTGGACCTGGGCGGGGCGGGTGCAAAAAGACCTCATCACAGATGTGGACATTGGAAGCAAAGGATGAAAAGACCTTCTGCTAAGTGACCATTTGTCATTCTGTTTGTTACACTTTCTAAAGCTAACTGCTAAACAGATACACTCTCACTTTGGGATCTGGCAGCCTTCACACTTGGAAGCTGGGGCCCTTGCTGCAGTGTTTTTCAAGCTAGAGCAGAAAATGAACTGTTGCTTTTAAAGGTTTATTCTGTTTAAAATGCCACTTTCTAAGAAGTACCTTGTTAATACCTGACTTCATTTCCAAATGTGTGGCAGAAGGACTTATCCCCATTTTACCAATGAGGTCTATACACAATGCCAGTATTTTAAAGCCTTATTTAATTTTATTTCTTATGGTGCTAAAACATATTAGACCCTGTAATAAATGTACTAACTTTGAGACTTAAAATAGAGAAATGGCTAAAATAATTCAAAGTTTATTTCAGTTTTAATTATTTCTTTAATTTCCCTGACTATCCCTTCTGCTTTATGAGATCTTTTCACTCCCAACAGTGGAGGGTTCTTCCAGGTCCCAGTTAGAGCTCAAGAAATACCACCTTTATATCCTCTTCCATGAGGAAAAAACAAGTTAAGACTCAATAAAGATAAACTAGAGCTCTCTCCTTACGTGGCCATCTTTTCTTCAGGTTCTTCCAAGGCAAACCTGTGGGCTCTTCACTCACACAATTTTCTACAAAGAATATCCAGGAGGTCCCAAGGAACTGGACAAGAGTATTCATGGAGGGGAGCTCTTTTTCACTGTGGTTCTCAACCCAGTAAGTACCTAAGAGTTGCTCTTAAAACAAATCATGTTTAAAACGACAAGGTGCATAAAAATTACCTTGAGGAAGAAATAGGGAATTGGGTAGTTACCAGTCAAGTAGCGTGAAGCTTGCTGCTCCCCTCCCTCCTCCTCCTCCCTCCTCCCTCCTCCTCCTCTCTCCTCTTCATCTCCTCCCTCCTCCTCCTCTCCTCCTCTCACATCTCTCTCCTCTCTGTCCCTTCCCATTTCTTTCACTGTTCTCTCTTCCTCTTTCTCTGTTTCTCCCCTTTTCTCTCTCTCCCTTTCTCCTCTCTGTCCCACTCTCTCTCATTTCTCCTCTCTGATACAAGAAAGCACAGATTTTGTCAGTACAAAGAAAGGAGCTGGATAACTGCCTCTGTCATTCTCCATCCGTGCTCAGGTCTGCCCTGCTGGGTTACAGAGCATCTCTGATTAATGGTGGGATGCTCTTTCTCCTTCACTTCTTTATACTAGCGTTTCAGCAATGCAGTGAGCCACTGGCAAATTAATTTTCCTGGAGGTGCGTGTCATAAAGTCGTGTGGTGAAAGAAAAGCTATTGAAGTGAGCTGCAGAAGGAAAAAGCTGTTAGTGGTTTTCTTCCATGAAAGAGAACAGGAAAAAAATAGAGATAATTTTTTTTAAACAGGATGAAAGTTGGATAAGATAGAAATAAATAATAAAATTTGAGTCTTAGTTTGACCTTAATTTTACAGGCTCTATAAATAAAATTGCAAGTATTTTTTATCATCTACTCTATTCAAAAGCATATCTATATTTTAGAAGCTAGAAAATGAGATAGATGAAAAGGTAGCTCAATCTTTGATGGCATCTGCATGAGTTCACGCCTCAGGATCCTTTGTGACTTTGAGCCTTTAGGAAGGTTATCAAACTTCTGAACCTTCCCCAAGCAGATATATGCTCCACAAATAACCCCCTCTTCTAGATTACCTATATTTTGGGTTACTCTGTATGGATTTCTTATCTTTTTTGCCCAATTTAACCAATAATGTGCAGGGTAAAGGAAGTTTGCCAGTGTGTTCTTATAAACCAAAGACCTGTGAGATGCTAACAACTTTATCAATGGTTTTCAGACCCTTGAATGTGTATTCTGCAAGATTCTGATGGAGCAATGTAGTCTGTGTGACTGTCTAGCCGTTGGTGATTTAATAGTTGAAAACCTTCTGATATTATTGTCTCTGAACCAAATGATCTCTACTCATCACAGAAGAAATTTAAAGATCAGTCACTCATATATTATGAACTTATATTAATTTTTACCTATTATCTGATAAGTAATGTTTTTCATTAATAAAAACACATAAATTTTTAAACTAGAAATATTAACAGCGAGGTTATGTTGGCCTTGGTGCCAATTTAGGCTAACATACAAATTTTTCTTTCTAGATTGGAAAACTTTCAAAGATAATTATTTTCAGTTTACAAAAAATTGGCTCAAATTAACTAAGAGCTTTTGTCATATACCATGAGATAGACAATGGTCTGAGATGATTCATCTGGTATACAAGGCACAATCTAGAGTTGAAATTCTCTTTCCCTGGTAGAGAAAGGTGCTTCTGAAGTCAACATTAGACTCTCACCATGAGAGTGTGTGCTATCCTTAGTGATGTCTGCCTGGATGACTAAAGGGAGGAATGGAGCATGCTTCCTAAGAATTCTCATTCCAAAATTAAATGGTCCAAGACAGCCATGTTCACACTTCAAAACCTCCAGCTTCAGTGAAGCATCTATGATGCTAGCAGATGACATGTTTTATTAGGTCAGAATAAGAATGGAAAAACTCCTTATCAGATCATAGAATGTGTTAGCTGTAAGAAAGATGGAAATTTTAATGATAGTAGGTTTGAAAGATGCCCTGCTGGATGATCACATAATAACACAGGCCTTAATTAAAGGTAGTATTTTCTAAAAATACTAAGTGACGTTGTTTCCTAGGAAAAGGTAGATGAATACTGGAAACATGGAACTTAAGTACATTTAGATACACTTGGTGGAAAGGGAAAATTCAGTCAGGGCTGTGGTTAAAAACCTTTTAAAATATTACTCACATCAACACTTGAAGGCACCAGAGCATCAGTGTTGGGTGAGAGGTGGCTACAATGACGTGTGTTTCAGAGTTAAACTTGAAAAGAAAACAGCAAGGATAAAACTCCTTAAATTAACTTTCTGTTACACAGCTACCAAAGTATTTTTCATGGCTTAAAAAAATGTCAGTCAAGTGAATATAACACAATTAGCAAAGTACAGTGACGAACTAGCACAACAGAGGAGAGACAACCTTGGCTGTCTTCCAATGCTTTCCAGTGTCATGAGCCAGGAACCTCTGACATGAGTGTAGATGTTCCAATGACTGGGGTTTAAATCCAGGTTCTGTATGGGTTCTATTATAGAAAGAATATGTTGATCATAGGACTTCTTGTCACTGGGATAGCAAAATGCAAAATAGTTGTATGAGCATCTATCTTATGTTGGTGAATATTACCCAAGCAGGCCCGAGAAGGGGCCCTCTATTTCTTTACACAGTTCCTCCATGAAGGCACCTTCAAATTGCATGTCACTTTACACATTTCCCCATAGAAGGGACTCTCTAACTGAGCTTTTGTTGAATTAATTTCTTTTGTTTTATGTGCATGGATGTTTTACTTGCATATATGTTTGTGCACCGTGTGCGTGCCTAGTGCCTGTGGAAACCCTAAGATGGCATCAGATACCCTGGAATTGGAGTTATGGGTAGTTGTAAGCAACTATGTGGGTGCTGGGAACCAAACATGGCCTTCTGAAAGAGCAACAAGTGCTCTTTATTGCTGGGTCATCTCTACACACACACACACACACACACACACACACACACACACACACACACACACCTTTATGTCCTAACTTGCCTTCTGTTGCTGTGATAAAATATTGGCCATACAAATAAATGTCTATCAAGCCACAACATTTTCTCTCTTGTTTTACCCTAATATCTCATAATATTACTATCACAATACAAAACACAGTTAAATTTTTAATTTATCACTGTCTTTAAAATCTTTAACACTCTAAAAGTTGAATTTCTCTTTAAAATATCCAGTCTCATACCTGATGGATCCTGTAAAATCCAAAATAAATTAAATATTTCTGATTCAAAAAGGAAAGAACCAGATCATAAAAACAATCTCACCTAAGCAAACCAAAATACAACAGCAAAACTATCCCAGTGCCCAACATCTGGGACCCACATTGTGGACTGTAAGCTCCATAGGCTCCAAAGGGCTTGCATAGCCCCATCCCTCCAGCTCTGCCATTCACAGCACACACAACCTCCCCAGTAGCCTCAGTCTAGCTCTACTACACAGCCACCACTGTTCTTGATCATTATCTGTGTTACTGTCATCTCTCATATGCTGAAGTCTCCACTGAGTACTCATTGGCGTTTCTAACCCAAACCTTTAAAATTCTCCACCTTCCTGCCATAAACCATGCTAAAGCATACAAGTCACACAGTCTGGTCTATCACAGCAAGATCCTACTCTCTGGTATCAATTTCTGCCATGGTTTGCTTTTTATTGCTGTGATAAACACACAGACTAAAAGCAGCTTGGGGAGAAAGGGTTTGTTGGTGCTTACAGGTTCTAGTCCATCATTGAGGGGAAGCCAGGGCAGGAACTCAAGGCAAGAACCTGGATGGAGAAACTGAAACATAACCATGGAGAAATGTTGTTTACTGGCTTGCATCCCCTGGCTCACTCAGCTACTGCCCAGGACCACCATCTGCCTAAGGATGGTACCATCCAAAGTGGGTCCTCATATATGAATTAACAATCAAGAAAATGCCACATAGACAAGCCCATGGGCCAATATGGTGGAGGCAATTCTTCAACTGAGGTTCCCTCTTCCTAGGTGACTCTAGTTTGTGCTAAGTTGTTAAAGACTGACCAACACAATGCAACTCCTCCATAGAAGGGACCCTCAAATTATACATGGTTCTTTACACAGTTCCCCCATATTAGTCATCTGCCTTAAACTAATAGATGCCAACCTCTTTATTTACTGGTTTCATGGGCATGACTAATCTGACTGCTCCCTCTGTGTGTGGAGATGAATGAGGTCTTAAGCCGAAGAGCAGACACTGAAGTATTTATGTTTGCTCCATGACAACGGTAAAGGAAATTAGGTTGCATTATGTTATACCTTTGGAGACAGCTGCAAAAATATCTCAGAATCCAAGATGACTCAGCTGGAAAAGTGCTTACCATGCAAACATGAATCCCTGAGTTCCATTCCCAGCACCCACATAAAAAGCCAGATGCACAGGCAGGCAATGAGAATCCCAGCCCTGGGGAGGTAGAGACAGAAAGATCTCGAGCCTACTGGCCTAGCCAAATTAGTGAGCTCTCAAAAACTAAGGTAGAAATCAATGAAGGAAGACACCCATCATCAATCTATGGCTCAAACACTCATGTTCACATGTGATACACACACAAAAACACACACCGGTGTGCACATGTGCAAGAAATATACAAAAAAAAAACCCACAAATTTCAGTGCTCTCAGATACAGATATTCCTGATCAAGTCACAATTCAAAAAATGTGTGTGTGTGTGTGTGTGTGTGTGTGTGTATGTGTGTGTGTATATATATATATATATATATATATATATATATATATATATATATATATATGATAGATAGGTAGGTAGGTACTTTTAAACAATGAGGAAATTCCTAGTTACCTTAAGACATCTATATAATTGATATATAAATGAGTTATGAAATTTATAGGATCTGGAGAGATGGCCCCATGGTTAAGAGTACTGGCTACCCTTCCAGAGGACCTGAGTTTGATTCCCAACACCCACATGATGGTTCATATTGGGCTGTGACTCTAGCCCCAAGAGATCTGGTGCCCTCTTTTGGCCTCCCCAGGCACCAGGCATGCATACATGATACACAGAAATACATGTAGGCAAAACACTTGTGCGTATTTT